ACTTGATCTGAAGTGGACTCAAGAGCTGTTTAAGGTGGTTAGACGATACAAGAGACAAGAGATAGCACAGTATAAGATCAAAGACTTTCATGATAAACTGATAGAAGGTACGTTTTATGGCAATGAGTTACAAAAGGTGGAGAAAAAGGAAAATGTTTTGTGGCAGGTAGAGAAGATTTTAAAGAGAAAACGTGTGAAAGGGAAGACCTACCTGTTAGTGAGGTGGTTGGGCTGGCCGAGTTCCTTCGATTCTTATGTGGAGGAAAGTGAACTGAAAGATATCTGATGGAAAGGTACATATTTCTCAAAAGCTCAGACTCCAAACGATCTTATTTTAATGAGAATACGCCTTATCATTTTCGTGTTAAACTAAATCAAAGGTTGAATTTTGATGGATTCTGGGTTGTGTCTTTAACGGAGATTAATTTTGGTAAACTTGACATCACCCACATGAATGATCCATATGTGGACGTGTTATGCAATCTGTGTGATAGTTCTTTGGCAGGTGAACAGCAGTTGCCTTTATTGAGACGGCTTGATCTCAGACAAGGTCCTTACTATAGCTTTGCATGTGAATACAATATTCCGATTAAAGTCAAAGAATCTCCACACATAGAGGTGTGTATAAAGGCCAGTAACGGCATGTCACACTCATTTCTAAAGGAAGTGACATATGTGACACTGCACTTGAGACGGTATCCCTTCATTGATTAACCATGGAGTCCACACCTTTGTATGTCCCTGATTATGTCAAATGGACCCACTATTTCAAGAAACACATGAAAGGAACATCTGCCTTAGTGAATGGTAAACCACAGGTGAAAGTGATCCCGACACGACTTCAAGTGAAGACTGAAGAACCCAAGATCAAACTGGAAGTAACATCAGAGACGCAGAATATTGTTGAGAGAGCCAATGCCAAAGAAAAGCGACGGAAATCTTTAAAACGAGCTGCAGGTGACCAAATCACCACTTCAAAGAAGATCCGTCAGACAGATAACATTCCATCAAAGACCGCTAAGGTTCTCCAGTGTACCCCTATTCGAGAAAACGACGTTTTCGGTTAATCATGTCACTGTTGAATGATAAAGACTTTGAGGAACTGATACCACCCTCTCTCAATCTGTTTATTTTACCTCCATACCAGACCAGCATCCATCAACATTATTTTGATGAGGTGCGTCCACTCAGTCAAATCAATGATTCTTCACCATTGGAATTTCAAGTAACGAATGCTGGAAGTGATTACATTGACCTGAACCGTACCCGCATACATGTGAAGCTCAAGGTGAAACATGCAGATGGCACTGATCTTGAGGACAAGGAACATATTGTCCCTGTCAACTTGTTTCTGCAGGCTCTCTTTTCCCAGGTGTCAGTGTATCTGCAGAATCAGTTGGTATCTTCTACAAACAACCATTATGCTTACAAGAGCATGATGAAAACTCTACTCAACTATGGAACAGAAGCTAAAACTTCACAGCTGTCATCTCAACTCTTCTACAAAGATGTGTCTGAATCTATCAATGATGTAGAATCGACCGATCCCTACACTGGTCTCAATACAGGAGTGCAATCTCGTGGTGGTTTCATTAATAATAGTAAAGTCTTGACCATGTCGGGGCCATTGTATGAGGATATCTTTCACATGAACAGACATTTAGTCAATGGAGTGGATTTGACAATGAAGCTGTACCGCTCCTCACCCCAGTTCTGTTTGATGAGTGGCAAAACAGGTCAAGATTACAAGGTAGAAATTCTGGATACCTACCTGAAGGTGTGTAAACTGAAAGTCAATCCAGCTCTTATTTTGGCTCACAACACCTTGTTTCAAGACAGCAATGCTCTGTATCCTTACACCAAAAGCGAGGTCAAGGTGACAAGCATCCCCACCACTCAACTGACACATACCATTGACAATCTGTCGAATCCTATTGCTAATCGTTACATTGTAGGCTTTGTACTCAGCAACAGCTTGAATGGATCTTACACTGGTAACCCCTACAACTTCCAATCTAGTATGGTGAAAAACATCAGCCTGTACATCAATGGTGCCAGTGTCCCAGGACGTCCCATGCAGGCAGATGATGTTGAGTCCTATGTGCAGATGTTTGATGGGATGTGTCTGTGGAAAGAAAATACAGGAAACGGAATCACTCGGAGCGACTTTTTGCTTGGGAGTGCCCTGTTCGTCTTTGACATTGATAAAGTATGCAGTGAAACCGACTATCTGAATCTGTTGAAATCTGGTAGCACCCGATTAGAAATCGAGTTCAAAAACGCCCTCACTGAAACACTCAGTTGTGTTGTTCTGAGTGAAAGAAATTCCCTCATTGAAATTGACAAGACCAGGAACGTGTTTGTGAAGTAAAAAACATGAAAGCCTCTGACCTTGCATGTGCTATTCAAAGTGACTCCATCTTAAAGTACCAGGTCTTAGGTGTGTTTGCCAAAGATACTTTACCTGTGCTAACTAGTGTCATGCTTGCACGTGGAGTGGGTCTCATTGTCAATACTGAACCATCTGGAAGACTGGGTCGTCACTGGGTGGCTATGTACTTCAAAGGAAATACAGGGGAACTGTTTGACAGTCTGGGTGAGCCAGTGAATTCCGTTTTTGACTTGTTCTTAAAAACCTATGTCAATCAATACCAACACAACAGAAGACAGTTACAGTCCTCATCGTCCAACCTTTGTGGTCATTATTGTTTATATTATTTGTTGTATAAATGCAAAACAGAACTTACCCTTCAAACCTTTGTGCAGATATTTGATGTGCAAGTCCGTTTTAACAATGATGAGCATGTGTCAAAGTTTATCTGTAATTATTTTAGATATTGTTTGTTATCTTGTCATACCTGTGTCATGTAACATACTACTGTACTTGTGTAACCCATTACAAAAAAGAAAATAAAAAAGAAAATTAGTGTAGTCATTCGAGTTTGTTCTATAAATATAAGTAACTCAGCTGTAATGTCACAGTTGAATTATTGTGCTCAGAGTGTGATCATGGAACGTAAGTGTCTCTTACCAATACAAACACCTACCACCATATCTGTGATTGGTGGATCTTCCTCAGGGAAAACAGTTTGGGTGAAAAGGTTGTTAGAGCAGACTAATCTGATGTTTGACAAACCTCCCAACCTTATTGTGTACTGCTATGCTGTATGGCAAGACATCTACAGTGACATGCGGCAAAACATTTCTAACATTCTTTTTATGGATTCCCTTCCAACTGAGAATGATTTGAAAATGTGGTCTGAGCAATCTGAAAAGAACATGGTGTTGGTCATGGATGACATGATGATGGATATATGTAAAAGTCCACTGATGTTAAATCTCTACACTACATTGTCTCATCATTGGGGAATCAGTGTTATAAATATTCAACAGTCTGCTTATCCTAAGGGGGATTGTAACCGAACTATTTCCTTGAATACACACTACTTCATTTTGCTATCTAACCCACGTTCTGCACATGAATATAAAATCTTGGCATCTCAAATATTTCCGGGTCAAGCCAAATATTTTACTGAATCATTTCGTGATGCAGTGGAGGGAAAGAAATTTCAATATTTAATGATTGATGTATCACCCTATTCCGATCCTCAGTATGGGCGTCTGCGCAGTGGTGTCTTTCCAGATGAAGTATGTATTGTGTACCAACCCAAATAAAAGCTACTGCTCAAAGTTATACCCACCAGTTGCCTGTCTTACCAATGAACAGATCAGTTGCTTACTGAGATCATCATGGATGTTTGCGGACGATTTGAAGATATTGCTAACGATTGTTCAGTGATTTCAACCAATGCTGAAGTGTATGGTCATAGCTTTTGTGAGAGATTAAAGTCCTTTGTCAGTTGGCCTATGCAAATGAAACAGTCACTGAAGACTATGGCACAAGCAGGATTCATTTACACGGGTCAATCAGATAAAGTCTACTGTTTCATGTGTCGATTGCGTGTACATAAATGGATGCCAGAAGATGATCCACTAACTGAACATTTCAGGTTATCACCTCAGTGTAGTTACATAAACATGATAGCTTCTAATACTGAATGAGAGACATTGGCTATGGTGTATGAGGAATATTAGAGTCTAAGCATACATAGATATATATATATATAAAAGACACAATTACCTAGTTGGATCATTTCACATTGTGATCTCCTCACTTCAATATGGGTGATTTACTGGAAAAACATCTGTCTTTTCTTCAAACACTACTGCAGGCTAATGTGAAGCAGAGAAAAGCTTTACTTCAATATGTGTCATGTGAACAAATGCATGCTATTAATAGCATGATGTTAAACATTTTGAAAGGGAATATTCCACTCTCACTGATGGATAAAACTCGCTTGCACCGTCATAGGTTTCACATTAGAACATTGGCTGCCAAAGAAGGTTTTCCCAATCGGATTAAAAAGGAGGTGTTGATAAGACATCATTCCATCTTGCCTATTTGCATTGCTGCACTGTTAGATTACCTACATCATGAGCAGACCTATGGTTCTCCTGAACAGGAACACATACCAACGTCTAATAGACAACCAGGAAAAGGAGAAGACAGTGACACAGGAACAACAGATAATGACAGTGACTCCAGATCAGGAGACGAGTCCTCTGAGACTGAATGAGACCCCTGAAGAAATCACCCATGATGAAGCACAGATTAAAGCGAATACGAACTTGATTCTGGATCTACTTCTTAAGGATGTGTCATTAACTAAAACGATTGGCAAACTTGCCAAACTATGGTACTTTATCAAGGATCAGATCAGAAATGCTCACTTCAGACTGAATAATCAGTTAGAAATTGTTTTAGATAATGAGAATGTGTGGATCGGAACTAACGTTATTGACCTCATTCGTTTTACTGTGATGCATCGTGGGGCTGTTCCTTCAGGCTACCGTGACTTTCTCAATCTTTTAAAAATGCTCCATGTACCGAAGCGGCTTTTGTATAAGCCAGATGTCAAGAAAAAGAACGACAAAAGAAAAAAGGCAAAATCATCTTTATATATAAAACGACAAGCACAACATGGTGTACCCGGTGCTAACACTACTGCAAAATTAAGAAAACTAGAGTCTTTCTAACTGTACATGTACATTGAATTCATGATATGTATTCTATGTAACTTTCAGATTGTAAAGCAATAAAATAATGCTAACACATGCGACTTTTAGTTATTACTATCTTCCATGTTCATGAGGACTCTGAGCTGCATCTCAAGTCTTTCTTTTCTGTCATTGCAGAAGAAATGACTATGCATATAATCCGAGTCATTGTAATGCACAGTGTGCTGGTCCTGAAACTCTAGCCCAAGGCTTACCCTCTGTTGCTTGGCTTTTTCCAAGATGGTATGAAGGGGCAGCTCATTCACTGCACGATCAAAGTATTGAGTAATACACTCGTCACTGTTCATCATGAGACACTGGTGATGTACTTGCGATGGATGATTAACTTCACATCCATAACAATTATCACAACATAACTTCCGAACAAGTCTCTGGAGTTCATTGAGATAGTGAGTTTCCAAGACGCCTACGAAAAGTCTTTTGTTTCGACGCAGCTGTAAGCGATTGGTTATTTGTCTCCTGTTGATGTGAATTTCACGCACAGTTACTGAATAGTTGGGTGTTTGATGATTCTCGTCTTGATGGAACATTCTTCTTGCACGCTGTAAACCTGCCTGCATGGCATCCTCATGGCTTCTTCGGAAGCTTCTGCCTTCATAATACAGTATGTCATTGCTGCCGTTTCGTCTTAACTGGTAAATGAATCCGGTGGTACTCATGTTGCTGTAATCATAAAGATAATTAAATGAGTGAAACACTTTAAGTGAGATGATAACAGCAATTATTACTATTAATATTAGAATTATTATTATTGTTAAATTAAAAATGGATAACATTCGGCAAAAAAGCCTGAGGGTACCTGTATCAATCACCCATCTCTAAAATGTGGAACTTGAACAGCATTACCACATACTCTTAGACTGGTGAATACCCATAGGGTAAACTATATATACCATCCTCTAGTACATAACGTTTATCATCTAAGGGGGATAATGCTATTTTGCTCAATGACTCAGTGTATAAAGTGTTATTGTGAGAGCGAATGAGTGAATAGGAACAATAAAAAGGTTTCCTCTCCAGGAGACTGTCTTTGTATTTCTTATGGGTCAATTGCTTAGCAATGACAGATTTCTTTATTCCTTTAGCTGTCTTTTGGTTTGATACAGTGTTCTCATCTGATTGTATCAAAAAGGAATACATTTTGCTTTTCAACCCTACAAACTCTAAAATGATCTTTCCTGCAGCTTCATCCTTCATCTTTCCTGTGACTTTTTTGTTTTCATTCGAATACAATCCTTTAGGATCGTTCTGATCATAATTGGAAGTATCAAACAAATGCAGATTTTGCTTCATGAATATGTAGGGATCAAGCAAAGTCTCGTGTGGAGGGGCATGAATGTGCAAAAAGAGACTGTCTGTGTCTGTCATGAGCAAGTCCAATCGTTCTGGTCCATATTGCTGTTGCATGACGTCATAATAGAAAGAAAGGATTTGAAATTTGGCTAAATCCAAAATACTGAAACCAACAGCGATAGGTTGATCTAAATGGACAGACACTTGCTCCATTTCCACGGACACAACATCTTCTGAAAACACTTTCACCTGCTTGAAATTGGTTTTAGCTACATAACTGCGAAATTGCTGTCTTTGGGTCACTAAGTGCACGGATTTCCGCTTGCGTTTATTCATACAGAACCTGCCAAACACACAATTATTCATAAGTTTATATCGGTCCTTGTCACAGGCATCAGTTGCGTGTTTGCGACTTTCCAAATTTAACTGAACATAGGGTTTCAACCAGGGACCTTGCTTGAACTTTAACACCCTATGAATGTGTTGGAGGACTAGCCCATGTCTCAAATACAGTTGCAAAGTTTTGAAATGAACCACATAGTTCAAGCGGTCTTTTAAAGTAGCAAACAATTTCTTGCCTGAGGGTTTTTGACACTGGGAGGTATAGAACTGGCTGAGTAACTCTTTGTGATAAGGTGAAAAGTCCTCAAAGGGAATGTTGTCATGGGTAGGAGCCATGGGGAAAGCAGCATGAAGTTTGTGTAAATGTTTAGGATAGTGCAAGTCCACTTCCAAAATGTAACCTGTATCCCCTTGGGTATCTATTGTAACCCAATCAATAGTTTCATAATCTTGTGCTGACATGAACTGATAGTTACCAATAGGCAGGGGTTCCAGCATAACTCCAGAATAAAGACTGTTAAAGTCCATGTACAGAAGCACTGAGGCCTCTTTTTCTGGGTTATAATTAGACATGTATTCATTGTTGCTTTCGGCAAATTTCTTACCGATGACAGACACGCCTCCCCGAATGGAATTTTCCACAAAATTGTAACTATCTACATCAGTGAAGAGATCAAGCTTGACCCCGGTGACTTTCAGTGCTGCATCAATACAAAACCCAGGCATGGAATAGTAGTGACAGATGTCAAGTCCATAATCTGCTAAACATCCAGTTCTGAATGTTTCGACAATATCAGCCAACAACAGTGTGTCTACAACCACATACAACCGTGTAAAGTCAGACATTGTGTTGCATGCGAATGTATGCCACAATTCATGGGCAAAGACATAGTCTTCATCAGTAATGCCTTCATCACTCAAGGAACTGTAGAAGGATTCTTTAGGTGGCAACTGTGTGTCATTTAATTTTTCCCATGAATCCATGTACTCATAAGGAAAAGGAAGCTTTCGAGTCATTATACCAACATGCTGTGGGAACTGCTCTTTCAAGAAAACAAATGTGTCTAATCCTTTATTCATCTGATTCTTAGTCAGAGCATCTAAAGAGCTTTGCAAAAATTTGCAAGAATCTAGGAAGACCAGATCATTGTCCACAGTAAAAGACAGAAACTGTTCAGAATTATGGGGTATGATCTGAATACTTCTCTCTCCAAATTCACGTGCTGCTTCAAGAATAAGATGCGTATCATAACGCTCTGAATTATGCAACATCAGATACACTTTCTTTTGCAGCTGGAAATTTAGGTTACACTTGTTGTGTAATACTTGTCTAAAAGCACCACTGAGATGGTCATGATCTAACACCCTATCTTTCCCTAACTCTTTTCCACATAATCCACACTGAGTTGTGTTTGCTATGGTTGTCCTATCCTGATGAGATAATTGCATGGGAACAACATTGGCAAAGATCTCCTTAATTTCATCATATTCTCTTAAAATGTCTTGAATAAAGTGTTCTGCTGCATCTGAACCTACATAGGTTTGAACAGATTTCGAATACCGCTGCTCTGAACAAATAACTTTGTAAGCATAGGCACAAGGAACATGTCTGTTCAAACGCGATGCATGATTTTCGACCGGCAACAGCAAACTTTCAAAATCGGCCACAATAAGAAATTTAGCTCTTTCTGTTTTAGCTTCAGATCGTAATCCAAACTGATAGACTGCTTTCTCGGGTTTAGGCATATTGACACGTTGAGCTTTATCAAAACAATACCCCTTGTGCTTATTCAACCTTTCTTGTGAGCTGTATGTCCACAAACATTTTCTGCAAATATAATACTGGTTACTACGTTTTTTCTCAGGGTTTTTGACAAAAATTTTCAACTTAGTGATCAAACAAAAATGGGTGTCTGCTTTCGTTTCTACATCCATAAGTTCATGACCCTCTAAGCCTAAGAATCCTTCGAAATCTTCGGGCTCGTTCTCTTGTGAAAGCATCAACAAATCAATTTGACTGTCTGGTTCTATGTTGGATACGTTGCTTATGTAAAGTGGATAGAGAGTCTTATCTTCGAAGCCATACACATTGATACTCAACTGATTGACTTGTTCAAATCGTGGGATTTGTTTGAGTGTCATCGGAAAAGTAAACCCATCCAAATTCAATCTGTTCACAAAAGGTTGATAATGCTTCACCCGTGTTGGATGATGCGGAGCGGGAAACAGTTTGGCTAAAATGCTATAGATAAAACACATCTCATCATTGTTTTCTACATTCACAACGCTTTTAGTTTTGTATGCAATTTCTTTGGGAAGAGGGATGTATGTACCGCCTTTAAAAGGCTTAAATTTAACCATGATCACTTTCATCATTGCAATGTCTAGCACGTTTAAATTAGAATGCTCACCCTGATAATTATCTAGTGAACGCAATATCTTGTGCATGGCTTCAAGGTATTGATCGGACAAATTGGTTCCTTGTGTAGCTATGACCATTGTGCTTCGAAAGTAAGCCTCATGAATATTAGCTGTTTCATCTTCAGTAGGTTTAACCATTCTGATGTGAAGACATAATCCCCATTTCACTGACTGTTTCTCTCTGAGTTCTGTCTTGATCACATCAATAATGACAGCTTGTTGATTCACCATAAAATGTAAAGCATCTGTAGCACCCTGCCCTTTAAACTCATACTCTCTCACATCTCCCCCTAAAGATTCGCTGGTACATGGGCGAGCATGATCAGAAGTGTCACCAACAGGTTCAGGATTGGAAGGAGTACCTGGTTGGGAGGGAATGGGAGGCAAAGAAGGGTTGGATGGATGTGCAGATACTGTAGCCGTTTTTTTCCTACTTAACTTGCCTTTGCTACCACCCCACATATCATGTCCTGTTCTATTCTTATGCAGTCGCAATGCTTTCGAAGTTGGAAACATTGTCTGACAAGTCTGACAGGTTACATCATTTTGTGAAATCTCGTTTATGAGGTAGGGATTGGGATAAGAAGGAGAAACATCAGGGGAGGGGATGGGCGGTGGAGGGGGGTAGGAGGAAGGAATGGGAGGTGGTGATGAGGTGGAAGGAGAATCATATTGCGAAGTCGTGTTTAGACAATGTGGTAAGTGTGATTGAAAAGCAAGTTCATGGGTAAAGTGTTGAAAACACAGTGAACATTGGCAAACCAAAGGATTGACTACTTTTTGACAGCTTTTCACATGTCGTTTTAAACTTTCTTTTCTGGAAAAATATTTTCTACAATACTGACATGAAAATTGACCCCCAACTTTCCCACATATTTGTTGATGCCTTGTTAAATTTCTTTTAAAACCAAAACAAGTGTGACAATTTTCACAGTAGGAGTCTCTACTCGTGGTGTACATAGTCATAAAATAGGTATTCACCAACTAAGTGTGTATGAGTTGGTAGTTACCTGAAAACAAAAAACAAAAAACGAACATCAACTAAGCATTAGACTAACATGGTTACTAACAGTTTTAAGTATTATATCGTGATAATAAGTTTTAAATAATACGTCAAGTGTATAAGTTTTAAATAATCTAACAAGTGTATAAGTGTAAGTATGCAGTAAAAGTGGAGTACTTGCTCTTTTGCTGGAGATTCCTATCCTAAGGATGCGTGTTAAGGGTTAACGTTTCCGGTACACTTTTGGTTGATGTTGCCTTGGCAATTTCTCAGACGAAAATGGTGAAAAATATAAAAGTGGATGGACTTCTTATTCCAAACTATACATTTTGGAGCTCTATAGAAATATTAGTTCAAACTTAAGTGCAAACAGCTGCATACAATGAACATGAGTGGTTTGGCTGCTATTCAAAACAGTTTCAGGTTGCTTCAAGACAGATGTATCAAGCGGGGTGTATAATAGGGTAGTACTATGAACGGCTGAATCACCTTGACCGAGTACACAAGCTATACAATTTTTTAATTTTATTTTTGTTATTGTTGAGAAATGTTTACCATGGGATGGTACTGAAAACGTGTCTCTTTAAAAGCACAGGTGTTTCTTTATGAAAGACTACATAAAATGAACTGCTGAATCACCTTGACTGAGTACACAAGCTATACAATTTATTGTTGTTGAGTGTTTACCATGGGATGGTGCTGAAAACGTTACACTTTAAAAGCACAGATGTTCCTTAATGAAAGAGCTGTATAGAGAGTGTGTTACTAAAAACTCGATATTGATTAAAAATGAGAGAGTAACAAGTTGTGGCTTTGTGGATTCGTTCTTGTTAAGTCTATAGGGCTGCCGTCTGATCAAACAGGGGAGTATCTAGAAAACGTACTAATTAAAAATCGTATACCATCACTTACAAGCAAAGTATAGTGAGTCAGAAGTAAATGTATACTCCATTTGTATGCGGGGTGTAACAGTTGATACCATTTGAAAAGAACAAGGTAACATAATGAAGTAGTTTTTCCCGTGAGCAAGTGTCAACATGCTGAATCACCTTACTTGAGGAGTGTACCCGTCAGCCCAGTTTGAATTGAGCGCGCTTGACAACTGACGTGGCCTCGTTGTTTAACCCGCGCTCGCTAGAGCGTGCGCCCTGGTTTGATGAATGCAGGGTGTGTGTTGAAAGTACAAGTACCACAATAGAGACGGGTTATGTCAACACGATATACGCCGGGTAATGTAGGGAAAAAAAAAAAAAAAAAAAAAAAAAAAATATATATATATATAAAAATGTACGTCTAGCTGGATTAAATTCATCTTGTACGGACTACACGTTGTACACCATGAACGTGAGACAACCTGTATAGAAAAAAAAAAACATAGAAGAAATAGATAAGACTACGCAATCAGCAAGCTAGCGGTGTCGTTTAATTACATTTAGCGCGCAAGAACGAGGTAGTCACGTCACCGTGCATTGACTATAACGCTGAAGGCAGCCGGATTTCGAATCACCCGCGCTGCGTACTATTGTGAACCATTTGTTAAGAATTATTCAGCCCTGTCCCGACTTGCATAGTTGATGTTTCAACGCTAGCGTTTTCTTTTAACGCGATAACAAATAAACAGTACGGTTTGAGTTTTAACCGTGTAACATGATGTGCACAGTTTTACTTCAGAACGTGCAATTTTGAAAATAGATAGAAAACTGATAAGTACATGTACCCGTGTGACGGCACGAAGCTAGGTTTGTTGGGAAAGTGATGGAAGCAATCTATAGGACATTTTCATGTTTACAATACTCACCCTTAATTCGAAGAGAGAACAGAGTTTATCATGGAAAATTGTTTGACGAGGAAAATGTTTTATTGGAAATATATGTCGAAGTAGGTTTATTCATAGCTAATGTATAGCAGAGAGACTAAGTGACCGACCGCCCATAACAATGTCAACATACCCCGGCCTTACAATTAATGTCAACATACCAGCCTCGCCTGAAGCTTCCCATTCATAAATTGTGTGACCAGTGTCTCGTATTTATGATACGTTAGGGAAGATGTGTTGTTATTTTAAAAGGGAGTTATTATAGAGAGTATATATATGGGTATTCCCCTCATTAAACCTTTCTTTCGTTGGTGTCTATTAAACGTATCCGGTATTTAATATATTTGAATGATGTAGGAAAGTATGTGCGTGTAGATGTTGTACCTATATCCGAACACGAATGTATGACACCTTTCAATAGATCAATTACGGTTATAGCCACGACGCGCAACATGACTATGAGCATGGTTAGCAGTTCATATTTATAAACACATCGTAAATGACAGATTTCTGATGAATGAACTCGCCCGCACACATGTCTATAGGGTTATGTTTGCCCGAACTGTAAACAGTGACACATTGGATAACAGGAAGGGTGTGTGGAATGCACTCGTCCTTGTAAGGGTAAAATACGCGTTTAAACTCACCATTTAAAAGATGACATTACTTTTTAGATGTATTGGTATCAGTGAGTGAGTGAATTTAGTTTTACGCCACACTCGGCATTATTCCAGGTCTAGGACGGTGGTCTGTCAATAAACGAGCTTGGACCAGACAATCCAGTGATCAACAGCATTGATAAGCGCAACAACAATTTCAGGCAACTTTGAAGGTTTTTCAAATCTCTCTTTGTTAGATAAATAAACACTTCTCCGTGAAATATAAGTGCTCCTGTAAAATCCGTGCGAAAATAAATTTGACAGAAACTGCTGATATTATTTTCTAACTGTGGATTTTTTAGTATTAAAAGCAAATTTCGTGATGAAATAAAATTTAAAAAAATAGAATGACGAAGTTGCCTAATACTGAAATTATAATCTGCGCGAGTGGGATTTCTCAGCACAAACGAAACGGACATTTTTTCACAGGCAGAGAAAAAGTTCGCACACTGCTAGATTTATAGAATCTGACGTCTGAATGGACTTTTGTAGTTGAAAGGTCATCCATTGTGTACGTATATGAAAACATTGTGTAGAGTGATCGAGATGAAAATGTTTCAGTGAATATAGGGTATAGACATTATTTCCTTGCGACTGTTATAAAACATGTATTATCAGCTGGCCTTCTCCTCACTCCAACCGCCTATTCTGTCCTGACCAACATATATAATCATCTTAAATCTTATAAATTCATTGCATACCGTAAACATGTAATAAAGTTGTGAATGGGTGATAGATTTACGTTCTTTACACAATGTGCTATTAATACTGATTGCAATGCATATAGTTAAAATTAAATAATAAAATAAAAACTTACCTTTTCAGAATTTGTTTTGGAACACTCTTTCTTGGAAAAAATGCTCCAATAGATTAACAGATGAAATTATATCCCGAATTTCACCTACTGACAGCTGCACTTGTCCATTTGACTGATTTACAGTTAACACTTCAGTCTGCCGGTTCAAAGTAAAATGTATTGAACAAATATCATAAGTTAACAAAGCGTTATGAAGGTGAAAACTATTTCTATAAATTAAAATTTCGTCTAAAATATAAATTAAAAAAGATTTCAAAATTGGTTTCAGATGATTGCACACACTAATAGAAGTATTTCCGTTATAAAATTCGATGTTATATGTCCAATCAGATTTAAAAGAGATTTCGAACGGCATGACAAGACAGCTGAATACTAAAAATAAATAAATTGCATACGCTATATATTTATATGAATCTGTAAAACATTTTTGTGTGGTTTTTCTAACACAACGAACACCGGTGCTATTCAAAGTGCGCGTGACAAATTCATCGTATTTGAACGTATTCTGCTTGGGGATATCTTGTCATTGTATCAGTTGTCAGATTTCGTTAGATAAGATACATAATAGCAACCTACCGCCGCCGTATCAGTTGTCAAATTTCGTTAGATAAGATAAATAATTACAGCCTACCGTCGTCGTTAGTAAATAGTAACAGATAAAGAATAGACTCTGGTCTACTGATTGATATTTGCTTTTCCCACACGTGTTGAAATATAAGTTTGCGGCTTGAAAATGAATAAGATTTACTTTTCCCACACAGGTCAACAACAAAAAAAAGTAGGATAGAGAAGTATAAAGCGTAGTTGTTATAAAAGAGCGGAGGAATAGTTAAGCTATACATTTTAGTACAGCAAGGGGTACTTCGAAAAAAAAAAAAAAAAAAACACCACCAGAAATTAGATTTTTCAAAATGACGTCTAAAGAGTTTTTTTTTAAGATCGCTTGGAATACAAAGTGAAACCGCTGAACCAAACAATCGATCAGTGCTTTTAGTGGAAAAACAAATTCGTTGTTTGGAAGCTCAGACGTTAATTGCTGATTATTATAAAAGAAAAGAAAAACTTCGAAATAAGGTGAGAAGAGTGGCAAGAAGAACACATACCTTCTGCAGAAAATATAAACATTATTCAAAAACAAAGAACAAGAAAGTGGTTGTGAGAAAATTCAACAGAACACTGTTATGTGTTTTACGTACCAACGATTCACTGAGTGAACTGTTTTCGTGTACAGTAAAACACGAGGATATTACGAAACTTGTGCAAGAAAAACTTGAGGATATAACAAAGAACAAGAAGAAAAAGTAGATGTGGGAAAATTCAATAGCACTCTGAAGAGTGATTTACTTGCAAACGATTCGCTTTGGGAACTGTTTTCATGTATAGTAAAACTCGAAGATATTACGAAACATACGAGTAAAAACTTGAGGTTGTTGAAAAATGTGACAGACATACACTCGTTCGTATATTCGATGAAATATGAACAGTTATTGTTAA